CCCCCACACAGACATACATACAGGCAAAACACCAATTTAAAAAAAAAAACTTAACAAATATATGTGAAGAAAAAGTTTTATTACCACTTAAGTTAAAAAATGATTTTTAGAAAGGATAAACATGACATTTTAAGTCCTGCAGTAATTAATGACTTAGGGAACCTGTCCTGTTTCCTAATGCTGAAACTGCAGTGTCATTCCTGTACAATGTGGACTCCATCAGTGCCCTTTGTTTGGGTTTTGGGGGGGAGATGTTATATTTTTGCAAGAATTCTTATGTAGCATTTATTTTTTCTTCTTAATAAAACTGGAAAAACTGGCCGGGCGTTGGTGGCGCACGCCTTTAATCCCAGCACTCGGGAGGCAGAGCCAGGCGGATCTCTGTGAGTTCGAGGCCAGCCTGGGCTACCAAGTGAGCTCCAGGAAAGGCGCAAAGCTACACAGAGAAACCCTGTCTCAAAAAAAAAAAAAAAAAAAAAAAAAAAAAAAACTGGAAAAACTGGGACTGGGCAGACAGCTCAGCAAGTTAGAGCACTTGAGGCCCCTCTGGGAGACCAGGATTCCATTCCCAGCCCTCGTGTGGCAGCTCACAGCTACCTGTAACTCCAGTTCCAGGAGTTCTTCTGGCCTCTGGGTATCATGCCTGCATATAATACACAGACATGTGCATGCAAAAATCCATACAGATAGAATAACTTGAAGAACTATTAATTAACAGATACATGCATTTGTTATGTAGATTTGATCTTTATAACTGACATGTTTAAATTGACCGTGACTTTTAAAAACCATGAATGCTGCCCAGAGCTGTTTCTGACATCATTTGTTTTTCGCCCCCAGCCTTTATTCTTTTTAAGTTGATGCCTAAGTGTTGTGCATATTTGGAAAACTATTAGTCAATTAGCTTGTTGAGACAGTCCTACTGTGCGGTCCAGGCTGGCCTGGACTTGATATTTAGCCCAGATAGTGGAAACGTTAAAAATCTTTTCCTGACATTTTATAAGTGCACTGTATATGATCGATGTCTTTAGTTACCTTACACTCATGTACTTAGTGACTATTGGTTAGCCGTTCCCACCCCCACTCAGCCCTTCTCAGCCCCTCCTTTCTACCATTCTAGCCTGTTCATTCATATATATATATATATATATATATATATATATATATATGCAAGCCCCAACGGTTTCTAACATAGGCATCATCTTTGTTCATTATATTCTGTATTGTGTCTTAGGTAAACTGCCAATTTGCTAGAATTTTCATTGATGTTAATAACCAGAGAAACATTTTTTCCTTGAGGCTTGGAAAATTATTAGCATACCCCTAACTTTAGAACTGCCCTTTAGATGAGGCAGTTTGGGAACTGTTTGTGCTGTGCAGTGCGGTGCAGTTGAGTGTGGTGTGGTGCCGACCCAGCTCCTCTGCACTCCACCACTGCTCCAGTTAGCATGCATTGACAGCAGTGGTCATTAACCTGCTTGCTGTCGGGAAATGCAGTGTGGTCCAGTTTTCCTAAGATGACTGCCTCTTTGAATCCTAGACAAAAGGTGTGTGTGTCGTTTTGTGCCTTTGTGTCTGCTGTCCGTGTTTATTGAACGTTCATGAAAGGAGAAGGGGCGATAAAACACTGCGTGTCAGACGCTGTTGACGAACGCTTTTGACTAACGCTTCGCGTGGTTTTGATGTCGGCTTCCATGGTGCTGTCCTAATTTGTCTTCGTGACGAATCGGGTTTTGTTTTTCTTTTTCTCTTTTTCTCTTTTTGTCCTTTCTGTTAGCTTCCATCTACAGACATCTATGGAGACTTCATTTATAAGCATTCATTTCTTTTTATCTTTTCCTTTTTCCTCTGAGGTTGATCCATATTGATTTCAGCTGTCTCCAGTGAGTTTTCAGAAGTACATTTTTTAACCCTAATATTACAGTGTTTACAGAAATAACCAGCCAACTGTCCAGTGTCAGATCTTTGAAAAGATTGGTGATTGTCTTTTTAGAGAGGTTTCTCATCATCTGATTTCCAAGCTCAAGACTTGGGAAATCTCTGGCCTTCCCTGTCCACCTGGTCTATCTTCAGGAATATCTGCTTGGTGCTTTGCTCCTTCTAGATTCTGTCCTTTTGCAGGTACCACTGCCTGTAACGCCTCCTTAGAAGCTTAATTCAAATCTTTAGTCATGTGCCTTTTCCCTTGGTTGACTTTTGTGTTTACTTGGGTTCTCATTAGTGACTCTTATCTACTCAAATTAGAAAAGCACTCTTGTTACTGAATTTCTGCATGGTTAAAGAAAGACAATGGAACCCTTAGAACCAGCTTGATCCAGTGGAACAAAACTCATAACAGGTAATTCAACAGTACCTTACAATTGTTACAGTAATAATTGATTGACCTTAGGGGGTTTGTAAATAATGTGGTTGTTCAAAAAAATTATTTAATCTCAGAACCTAGGAATGTTGCAGGGTCTACAGAAACAAGAAATGTCCTCTGACTTTGCAGGAAAGGGATTTTAATAGCTAGCTCTCTTGCCTCCTGCTGTCCCCAGTTCTTACTCCAGAGGCACCAATTTGAAATCTTTGACCACTATTTCTCATTTTCTCTTAACTCTCTGCCTTGAAAGATGAGAATTTAGCCCTCTCTGTTTCCATTTCACACATAAATAGACTTTTTCTTCCTCATATTTTTCACAAAAAATTCAGTACTCATGTTTGTGGTGGTATGTTTATTCCGTATTAGGTTACTGAATGTCTAAAGTGTGTTCTAGAGAGCCCACAGAGGTTCCCAAAATGGGCTCTGTAAGATTGCAGATAACTCCTTCTTGTGGTTTGGGTTTGGGTTTTAATGTTTATGGGTGTTTTGTCTTCATGTATATCTGTGCACCATATGTGCACTTGGTGCTCAGGGAGGCCAGAAGAGGACATCAGATCCCCTGGAACTGAGTTACAGAGGATTGTGAGCCACTGTATGAGTGCTGGAAGAGCAGCGAAGCCCTGCAGATAGTTCTGTTCAAGTACTAAGATACTGTATTTCTCACCATTTTCTAGTAGTTATGAGCCTGTGATCTTGTCTATATATCAGTAACAACTAAAATAGCTATTTGTATGTTCTTGTAGAATTAATTTCTGGAATTTTCTTATAGGAAAGAACTTTGAAAAAATATAAAATAGTGCTTCTCACTAAACATGGTTTTAAAAGAAAATTATTTTTCATTTAAAACATGTTAAAGGCCAAGTGGGGTGTCACTTGCCTTTAATACCAGCACTTGAGAGGTAGGAAGATCTCTATGAGTTTGAGGCTAGCCTGGTCTATGTAATGAGTTTCAAGCCCACCGGAGCCACATAGTCTCTGTCTGGAACACACACACACACACACACACACACACACACACACACACACACACACACACCTGTTTAAAATGCATGCGCACAGGCGTGCACGTATGTTCAGAATCAGGTGTGATGCACATGCCTGTAATCCCAGCACTTGAGAGGTTGAGGTAGGAGGATCAGAAGTCAAGGCCATCCTCTGCTACATAGTAAGTTCGAGGACAGCCAGGTTATGTCCAACCTTGTCTATCGTTCTCAATATGTGGGTATGACATTGAACCCTCTTGAAACCTCACTTTTAAATTTATTTATTTATTTATGGTAAAGTAGAAGTGGTTTGTTGTGCTTTATTCAAAATATTCTTTTGCATTCCACTTGAAAGTAAATCTCAGTTACTCTTTGCCTTTGAGTGAATAGACCCCCAAGTGGGTTTAAAAGCAATGATTTGGATTTTTGAGACAGGTTCTTGCTACCTAGCCCTGGCTGGCCTGGAGCTCACGCTGTGCCCCTCAAACTTGAAATAACCCTCCTGCCTCTTGTTTCTGGAGTGCTGGGATCACTGGTGTGTGTTACTACCCTCAGTTTATGTTTTACTTGATTATACAGTTGGAAATAACTTTTCCCTCATGTGTTTCATGTGGCATGCTGTGATTCAGTATTAAAACATGAAAGTCTTCATGAAATTCAGCTCAGTACAGGAATTTTTGCCTTCCTATGTTTCCAGGAGAAATAAACTAGGGATTTCATCTTAACAAATACATAGCAAGTGTTTGTGCATAGATGCTATAATGGAATAGGACAGATAAGAAGAAGCATGAGGTAGCCTCTGCTAATTGGCATGGCCTTGGTAGGTACTCAGTAGCTTGTACTTCCCAGCATCTAGCCTATTCAGTGAGAAGTAACCTTTAGGTTGATGACCAAACCATTATAAAATTTTCAGGGAAAAAAAAGCAAAACCAGTAAATTTTATGTGCTGGATTTAAAATATTAAAAGATAAGAAAGATACTAAAATTACTCAGAAATAAAGAAATTAAATCTGCAAAACAAAGGCTTCAGGTTTGTTTTTAAGGTGACCTGACAATTTTATGCAACAGTCTAGAGTTTTCCAAAGGAATTAGCATGTCGGATTTCATCTCATTCTCGTCATTGTCTCAGCTGTCTCTGAACCAGACACCATCCACACCTACAGACCAGGCTTTCAGGCGGCACGCTGCTTCTGTGTTAAAAACCAGTCTCGCTAACACCGTTGCCTTTCCGATGTACATTGAGATGCTCTGGAGAATGTAACAGCATCTTGTCTGAAAGCCTTGGACATCTTGACCCAAATCACTAGGAGAAATAAAAATTCCCATTCTGCTTTTATTTCTGAGATTAGACTAAAATTTGAATTTACCTCTTTTTTTTTTTTTTTTTTTTTTTTTTTTTTTTTGATAAAAGGGAATGTTTCAAACTATTAAAAGCTTCCAGGTGCATCCATTTACTGATCTTCCATACTGCAGACAGGATGTCCTTCACACCTGAGTAAGGGACACTGCTTTGCCCAAGCATGGATTTCTTAGTGACAGCATAGTAATTGCATGGTGTCGATGACGCCGGCAGTAAGAGGTTGGACAAGGCTTTGGGGACATGCCGGCACAGAGACCTGCCCACCAGTCACCCCATCCAAGTTCATCACTAGTGATTTGGTTCATGGTTTTATATTTCAAATCTGTCTCCCCTCTCTTGTAGGTTTGTAAAAGAATGGACTTGGTCTGTCAGAGAATGTTGAATCAGGGATTTCTGAAAGTGGAGAGGTACCACAATCTGTGTCAGAAGCAAGTGAAAGCACAGCTGCCCAGGTACCTTCGAGAAGGGGTGGGGGCGGCGGGGGCGGGGGCGCGGCCCGCCTGCTCGGTGAGAAATGAACAATCTGGCCACACACTGGTGGCCTAGGCCTTTAATCCTAGCACTCGGGAGGCAGAGGCAGGCGAATCTCTGAGTTCGAGGCCAGCCTGGTCTACAGAGTGAGTTCCAGAACAGACAGGTCTACACAGAGAAACCTTGTCTTGAAAAAAACAAGGAAAAAAATAAGAAGGCTGGAGAGATGACTGAGCAGTTAAGAACACTTGTTCATGAAGAGGACCAAAATAGTGAGTCACAGGCCGGGCAGTGGTAGAGCATGCTTTTAATCCCAGCACTCAGGAGGCAGAGGCAGGTGGATCTCTGTGAGTTTGAGGCCAGTCTGGTCTACACAGTGAGTTCCAAGACAGCCAGGGCTCTGTAGGGAGACCTTGTCTCAAAAAAACAAATACTGAGTCAGGTGTGATGGTGCACATCTATAATCCTAGCACTTGGCTGGTGGAAGCAGGAAGATCAGGAATTCAAGGCCAGCCCTTATAGGTACATTGGCAAATTTGAAGCCAGCCTGGGCTGCATGAAACCCTATTTTTAAAAAAGAAAGAAAGAGTCTCAGAAAACCAAATTAAAGAGGAGAGAATGGGGGAAGAGAAAAAGACATAAATAAATAGAAGGTCACATATGTTTGTGGCCTGGAAGATTCTATATTGTTAATGTGACAGCATTTCTCAAGTGTGTGTGTACATACATACATATACGTACACACACACACACACACACACACACACACACACACACACTGTGGGTGGGTGGGTGTGCATGTGGGTGGGTGTGTACACAGTCCTGACAAGACTCAGCTCTATACATAATTTTTTAGAATTTGGACAGCTAATGTTAAAATTCTTGTGGAAATATAAGAGACCCAGAATAACTGACACAGTTTTGAGTGGCAGTGTCAGAAGACTAATACTTTAGGATTTTAAAACTTAGTACTAAGCTGCAGTAATCAAAACAGTATGGTACAAGTCTAATGATAGTCACATAGACCAGTGAATAAAATAGAGAGTCTGGAAAATAAACCCTTGTATAGTTATTTGATTTTTAGTAAGGATGTCAAGAAAGTTTAATTGGAGAAAGAATGATGTTTTTCAAAAATTGGTCAGGTGAGATGATACATGCCTTCAGTCTCAGTACTTGGGAGGCAGAGGCAGGAGGATCTCTTGTGAGTTCAAGGCCAGCCTGGTCTACATAGCAAGCTCTGGGACAGCAGGACTACATAGAGAGGCCTTGTCTCAAAATAATAATAGTAATAAAAATAAAAAAATTGAGACTTAGGGGTCAGCAGGGTTGCTCGTAGGTAAGGGCACTGATGACCTGGGTTCTATCCCTAGAACTCATGTAGAGAGAGCTGATTCCTACAGGATGTTTTATACACACACACATACACACACACACATTAAAAAAAATGGGGCTAGAACAAAAACTTGTGCACATGAAGCTGGCTACTACCACACTCGAGAGAGGATGAGGTGACTGCTTGCTCTTGAACCCCTGGAGCACAGTAATGTTAATAACCAAGCATGGCTTCAGCAGCTAGGTAGCATAGTACACACGTCTAATTTCAGAACTCAAGAAACTGAGGCAGGAGAATCACAAACTTGAGGCCTCCTTTGGCTACAAAGCAAGTGTGAAGCCAGCTTGAGCTCTATGATGAGACCTGTCTTAAGACAAGCTGAAACCTGAAAAAATGGCTCAACGGTTTAGAGCACTTGTTGCCCTTGCAGAGAACCCAGGTTCAGTTTCTAGCACCCACATAACAACTCAACAACTTTCTGTAACTCCAGTTCCAGGAGATTCAACACCCTCTTCTGACTTCCATGGGTATCCACGCAGTGTACATAAATACGTGCAGCGAAACATCTATACACATAAATTAAATAAATCCTTTTGTAAAAGGCAAAAATGAACCATTTTAAAGCTAAACAGAAATATTGCAATAAAACAGTTTGTCCTAAGTATGTATTCAAGAGAAATAAATTAAAATTATGTCCATACAAAAACTTGAAGGCTATATATAGCTCAGTGGAGCACTTGACTAGCATGTACAAAGTTCTTATATGTTGTCTTAGTTAGGGTTTCTATTGCTGTGAAGAGACACCATGACCATAGCAGCTCTTATAAAGGAAACATTTCACTGGGGTGGCTTACAGTTCAGAAATTCCGTCCATTATCATCATGGCAAGACTTTGTGGCATGCAGGCAGACATGGTGCTGGAGAAGTAGCTTAGAGTCATACATCTTGCAGGCAACAGGAAGTGGTCTATCTCACTGGGAGTAGCTTGAGCTTTGAGGCGCCCTCAAAGCTCACCTCCACAGTGACACTTTCTCCAACACAGCCACACCTCGTAATAGCTCCCTTTGGGAACATTTTCTTTCAAACCACATGCATTGTTCCCAGCAAAACATATAAGTTGTACATAGATGTTCGTAGGATCATTAATCATAATCAAAACGTAGAAACAACCCAGATGCATAAAGGGATGACACCTGTGTATAAAGGGATGCTATTCAGCAATAAAAAGATCAGTGAACTATAGAAATGTGGAAATCTACAAAGGGCTACCCGTCACAATCCCATTTATTCCAGTGTTCAGAATAAGGAAGTCACAGAAACAGAAGGTAGATGAGTCGGCAGGTGGTGCAGCTGATGACTGGTACAAGTTTTCTTTTTGTGGTGATGAAGGTGTGCTGAATTTAGATGATAGTAATGGTCATGCCACTCCACATTCACAGAATCCACTCTGATTAAACCACATACTAAATAGGGTGTAGCATTGCTACAGCGTGTGCACAGCTGCCTTCTAAATAAAGAAATCCTGAATATCACATATGAATTACTTCTGAGAAGAGATGGAGAGAGAGAGGTGTTGTGATCAAACTCAGGGCCTCACAGGTACTGGGCAAGTGGTCTACCACTGTGCTACACTGCCAGCTGTTACTATGTCTTCAAACAAAGTGATTTTTTAAAACAGGTATTTTGTTAGCAATAATTCTTGTTAAAGATATATGAGCATTACAGTTATGACCCAGTTGCAAATGTCTAAATTAGCATGTTAAAGTTCATCTGTTTGATTAAGATATTTTGATTGGTTAACATTTTATTCTACACTACTGCTTTAATGGTTGCCACTGACTTTTATTATTATTTCAGGAGAGAGTCAGAAAGGAGAAACCATTCTTTAGCCCGTCATGCAGACATCCTTGCTGCTGTGGAAACAAGGCTGTCACTGTTAAATATGACTTTCATGAAGTATGTGGATTCCAACCTCTGTTGCTTCATCCCAGGAAAGGTAACCAGTGCCGCATACCCAGAGGCTGGACAACCCTGGGTAAACTAAGTCTTACAAAGCACTTTTTGTGATGTCAGAATTATTACTTCTCTGGATGAGTTTTTATTAGTGACTATATTTAGCTTTTCTGTACAATTATAAATATGTATCATTCATGTGATCTTGACATTTAAAATTCTAATTGTAAAATGCACAGTAGAAATGAGAGGCTTGGTGGGGGTTCATAGTTAAGAAAACATTTTGACCTTTATGGTCAAAATACCAGAACCGCTGCATTAAACAAGATACGGATTGTGTTGCCTTCAAGATCGTTACAGTTTGGGGGAAGGTAGGATGGGGGCTTGCTGGGTTGGTTTTGTTTGAGAAATGTTTAGTAATAATGAACTTACAAGTTTTCAAATTTAATGAGTAGTATTTTCTGTGTGGGCATTCACCAGGGTTAAGGAGTAGTCAGTCCTCTTTACCACACTAAGTATGGTACTTGTACTGTTATTACGTAAATCCCCCTCCCCAACCACACTGCATGACTTGAAACATCTGAGAGCATCCTACTTGTTGAATTAAGGGTAGATTCAAGTGAGATATAGAAGCAATGGAAATGGATTTGAAGATCATTTTGCTTCTTGATAGACACTGACAAAAGTGTCCTTTCAGTGGTGGGAACTTCTTAATACCTAGTGAAATTATTTCCATAAATAATTTATAGTGGCAATATTGTATGTAGATACTGTTCCCATTCTCAGTTTGAATAACATCTGTTTTGATGGCTTATACTTTTGTTTCAAATCTTTCTTGTATCTTATTTCCTCATATGACCTACAAATGCTTCTATAGGATACTGTAAGAGCATGACTAACTAAAAACTTTTTTAGATTTTTTATGCCAGATTTTATCTATGTATAGCCCTCTTTATGTGCTGCTGAAGTCCTTTGAGCGTATATGACTTGTCCTCTCCAATAGACAATTTTCACTGTGTGTCTCATTTCTAATAATAAAAGCAGCAGAGACACAGGTTCCAGTTTCTTACCATCAAAGAAAGTGTATCCAATTGTTCTAACAGGGCTATGTGGCTGGATTAGGGCCCTGCAAAGATGAGTGTTTTATATCTGGCCTTTACAGAAGTTGTTGCCAGTCTTCATTTGGGTTCACATGACTGACACACAGATTTGTACTGCCTGAGCGACTGCAGTGCATTCAAGTTGAGTTCTGCTTATTGGCTTTTCACTTGAGATTCTAGTACCAAGCCTGTGGGCAGCAGTGAACACATCTTAGGGTTTCAAGATGCTGTGGGGCCTCAGCATTGCTAGGCAGCTCCTAGACTGGTAGAGCTCACCCAGAGGAACTTTATAGGACATTCACCTCAGAAGGTGGGTGTCCTCCTGTCCCTTCTTGTCATTGCCACAGTGTGCACTTAGGAAGCACATTCTCATTGTTGGAGCACCTTTCAGATGTGTCCTTCCTTGTGTCCCCACAGCCTGTATGGGAGGTGGGACACACATGGGCGAGAAAACTGAGGCCCGGGGAAATTGGTTGAAGAGAACTGACTCCAGCATGTGGTGTCTCACACACCTACTGCATCCTTACAGCCTTCTTCACTACATGTCCATTGCTCGCAAGGGTTTTTTTCTCTAGCAAGCCAGTAATTGACTGAAAACAACCAAAAATTATAATTTTTATTTTTATTCAGATACATGTTTTATCATACTTGGATTTTTGTTTCTTAAAATTACCTTCTTTAATAGCTTATGTTTTGCTTAAAACAACAGCATTATACTCAATAATTTTTTTTTTTTTTTTAAATATGTTGCTGTGGGCTGGAGACACAGCTCAGCAGTTAAGAGCAATGGATGCTGTTCCGGTGGTCCTGAGTTCAATTCCTAGCAACCTCATGGTGGCTCACAACCATCTATAGTGAGATCTGATGTCCTTTTCTGTTATAAAGTTGTATATGCAGATAGGGCACTCATATATATAAAATAAATAAATCTTTTAAAAAATGTTGCCTTTACTTTATATTTCTTAGTTAAAATAGCTAATTTAAGCCAGGTGGTGGTGGCACACACCTTTACTCCCACACTCAGTAGTTAGAGGCAGGTGGACCTCAGAGCTCAAGGTTAGTGTAGTCTACAAAGCAACTTCCAGGACAGCCAAGGCTATACAGAGAAACCCTGAAACCCTGTCTTGAACCCCCAACCCCCAAAAAAAGCTAATTTAACAAGATTAGTAGTATTTGGATTGCTTCATAGCCATTCTCTTTTTAAGGATTTCTTATCCATAAACTCACCACATACTATCTTTAGAATAACAGGATTGTAGCATTTAATTTCCAGATACTGAACTAAGAACTTTGTTTGCCATCTGTTACTGTACCCAGTCCCTGAGATAGGATGAGCCCTTTCTCTTTGTAAGTTTATTTATCTCATAAGTTTTGGTTTTGCGTCCATGGCTGCTTGGCTCTGCTGTGTAGTACATTGTGGGAGCATGCTATGGATATTGCTCTGTATGGTGTGAATGTGTTGCTCTGATTGGTTAATAAAGTGCTGATTGGCCAGTAACCAGGCAGGAAGTATAGGCAGGACAAAGAGAGAGGAGAATTCTGAGAACAGGTAGGCTGAGTCAGGAGTCACCAGCCAGCCACAGAGGAAACAAGATGTAAAGTACCAGTAAGCCATAAGCCACGTGGCAACTTCTAGATTAATAGAAATGGGTTAATTTAAGATATAACAGCTAGATAGCAAGAAGCCTGCCATGGCCATAAAGTTTATAAGTAATATAAGTCTCTGTGTGTTTACTTACGTCTGAGTGGCTGCAGGAGCCGGGTGGACACAGGAAAACTCCAGCTATAGGCAATGGTAGCACATGCCTTTAATCCTAGTATTTAGGAGGCAGAGATTCATCTGAATCTCTGTGAGTTCAAGACCACACACTAGGGACAGAGCCAGGTGTGGTGGCACACGCCATTATTCCCAGTACTAGTTAACTATAGAGGTCTGGAGGTCTGTATAGACAGACAGGAAGTGATAGAGAGCTATAATTTCCTTAGTTATGATAAAAGATAAGTTAGATATAAAACCTTAGACTCACAAATATAGGATAGATAGGATATCTTCTTTAATTTTGCCAAATACAAATAGACTAAATATTATAAATAGACTAGATATTGTAACTGTAATTCTTGCTTGATAATTGTTTTGTTATATGTAATTTTACTATGTTAAAGTTAAAACCTTCCTTTTTGAAAAAAAAAGAAAAGGGGAAGTGCTGTGGATATCACTCTGTATGCTGTGAATGTGTTGAAATAAAACGCTGATTGGCCGGTAGCCAGGCAGGAATATAGGTGGGACAAGCAGAGAGGAGAATTCTGGGAACAGGAAAGCTGAGTCAGGAGTCACCAACCAGACACAGAGGAAGCAAGATGTAAAAATATCGGTAAGCCACAAGCCACGTGGCAACTTATAGATTAATAGAAATGGGTTAATTTAAGACATAAGAACAGTTGGCAAGACGCCTGCCATGGCCATACAGTTTACAAGTAATATAAGTCTCTGTGTGTTTACTTGGGTCTGAAACTTCAGCTACAGGAGCATGGACAGTGGAGGCCATAGTATGCAAGAAGGAAAAGGGGAGACAGGGAGAGGAGATCACAGTAGCCCCTTCAGGGATCTGCCCCTATTGACTTCACTCCCTTCCACTAGGCCTCACCTCTTAACAGACTTGTAAGTGGTACCTAAGTGAGGAACGTGAGCCTCTTAAGGTTACTCTAGATGGGAACATTAACAACTAATCTTCTTCTTTTTTTTTTTTTTTTTTTTTTTTTTTTTTTTTTTTTGATTTTTCGAGACAGGGTTTCTCTGTGTAGCTTTGCGCCTTTCCTGGGACTCACTTGGTAGCCCAGGCTGGCCTCGAACTCACAGAGATCCACCTGGCTCTGCCTCCCGAGTGCTGGGATTAAAGGCGTGTGCCACCACCGCCCGGCGCATAATCTTCTTTTTAATGTGTAAACTTGGTTTAGTGTATCGTTTCTTACCCCAAGATTACATTCCTCTAGATTATTATAATATATCCATTTCACTGAAATTGAGGTGTACAGTCAGCACTTTATTAAGTTGTTTAAGTGAGAAAAACAACAGTGTAATTTAAATTAGGCTGCCAGACACCACAGTACTGAGACTTTGTTACTGTTATCTAGGGTAAGGATCAGCACACGTTTTTCCGTATTTTGGCTCTGTGGGTCATGTAGGCTTTTTTCCACGGCTGTTCAGTTCTGAGAGACAACTGGGCAGTGTGGAATACATAATGGATATGTTTATGAACAGAGCAGACAGGGCTCTAGTTGCCACCCTCCCCACCACACTGGCAGGGCATCACCTCTCAGACCTACCACTGCACCTCTTCTGGGACATTGTGTGCAGCAGCCACTCCCCCAGGCTGCTCTGAGCTGCACGGCAGTGGTGGGCAGTTGGTCTTCTGGAGATGCAGTCAGAGAGTGGCGTGGAGAGGGTCTGCTCTTAGCCGCTACTCATAGTCCTGATGACCCCTGTGTTCTGTTGAAACTCAGTGGCCTCAGAGAAAGGGTTTTCACATGTAAGTGGTTGTACAGGGTCAAGAGGCTGACCAAATGTCTGAACAGACCTAAAATGTACACACTGGGTGTGATTGGTTCCTCCTTAAGTGTTCTGGGAAGGAAAATTTCCAGATCCAGCAATTATAGACCATTTTTCTCTTTAGTATGTACTCTTTCTTGAATCATTTGAAAATATGTTAAAGACATTAGTAATCCTTGGCTCTTAGATAAGTTCTATGTTTCCTAAGAACTAGGGCAGTCTTTCTTCCATAACATAGAAAACTAGGAAATTTATCATTAATAAAATACTCTTATCTGTCCTTGACAGTTTGTATTCAGATTTCCTTACATGCCACAGTAATACTTTCTTGGGGGTTCATTCTCATTTTCTCTCTCTCTCTCTCTCTCTCTCTCTCTCTCTCTCTCTCTCTCTCTCTCCCTCCTTCCCTCCCTCTCCCTCCCTCCCTCCCTCCCTCCCTCCCTTTCGTTTGGATGGGGTCTTACTCTGTAGTCCTGGCTGGCCTCAAATTGCCTGTCTCTCAACATCTGCCTCTCTCTGCCTCCAAAGTGCTGGAACTAAAGGTGTGGCCCACCATGTCAGGCACTCTTCGGTTTCTTGATTATCATAGGTCAGTTATAGTGAGGGGATGACAATTGGAGTTTATCTAACAGTTCTAAAATATCATGGATTTTTTTTAACTAGATTTCTTACGAAATGCTCTTAAACATAAGATTACTTGGGATTGTTTCTTCATTTTACTGTGACTAGTCCAAATTAAAGGTGTGAACCTTTAAGTGAAGATTTGGTCTTTTAAAAAACAAAGGTATATGTGGGGTTAAGTGCCTGAAGAGACCAGAGAAGGGTGTTGGATCCCTCAGAGATGGAATTTCAGGCAGTTGTACAGGTCTTCTCCTTCAGCAACTTTCTTGGATAGCTAGGAAGTTCTGATTTGCTTTTTATGTGCTATAATCTTAAATATAAGCAAATAACAAAGACTCACTAGACTAAAAGGTCACAGAATGAAGCAGGATAAAAAATTGAGGAACTCATGTAAGGATTCAAAATGTAAACTACTATTCTAATGAAATAAGAAAAGGTTTTCAGACAAACACATGCCATGTAAGGAATATTCAGAACCATTTTGATTATGGAAGGCATTTTTTAAATATTAAAGAGTGGGAAGGATAAAGTTGATGTAAAGAAGTCCCAGGTAGGGATTTCTTTAAAAAGGACAGGTGGATAACATGCAATGAAGGCAGGAGAGGATTCTGGTGGGAGCTAACCACCTGAAGGTGCACGTGGTCAGTGTCATTACTTTACATTTGAATGTGTGCTCCGTGCAGGAAAGTTTTTGGGTAGAAATTGATAGTGATTCACATGGGGAATATGCCAAACTTTTTAAACACAGAAATATTCTGGAAAACTTAGTGTATTGCTTAAGGCCTAGATAGGGTTAGGTACGTGGCATATTACTTGAAAGGTGTTGTTGCTTGTTTGTTTTGAGACAGGATCTCCAGGTTGACCTCCAGTCATGATTCCCTTGCTTCAGCCTCTGAGTGCTGGGGTCACAGGTGTGCCCCTCCAGATTTAAACAATTATGAGAAATGATCAGATGTATTCTGAGATAGGGTTTCTCTGTGTTGCCCTGGCTGTCCTGGAACTCACTTTGTAGACCAGACTGGCCTCAAATCACAGAGGCCTCTGCCTCCTTAATGTTGGGATTAAAGGCCACCATGCTCAGCTAAGGTTTGTTTTTAAGAACATTCCCTAGAATAAAAGCCATTCTAGACTGACCAGGGATCACCACGTTGAACCTGAAACATTAAGGGCTTGGATTTGTCCAAGTACTACTAGACTCTGTTTTTCCTTTGAACTAGTAAACATTGTATATTTATCCTCTGAGTCAAGAAGAGAAGGCAGATTATAAGACTGACCCAGAGTTGGAATAAATGCAGCAAGAGAAAAATGTGATCCGAGGATGTTTGAGACTCTGATGGCATAATGGTTTGGCTTAGAGTCCCTAGTTCTCGTGATTGCAATAGACGTTATCTGGACTGTGGTCTTCAAAGATCCGAATCACTGTTTTCAGGTCTCTGTTGAAGCCATGGATGTGTGAACAGTACCCTGGCAGGGAGTAAAGCCGAGACTGCACTTGGCTGAGGACATTCAGTTACTGTTCAAGTAGGAGAGAGGGAGTTAGAAAGCAGTGCAGTGAGCACCTGTTTCTTCTTCACTGATGCTATGCCTTCAGTTTCCCGTGACCATTGTAGTTAAAATAGAAAAGGGCATTTTGCTGCCCTTTGGTGATCTGTCCTTTGTGGTCTGAAAGCTTAGTCTTTGCTGTACCGCTAAGAAAAACAGAGCTTTAAGGGATAGAGTATGTGGTGGCAGTGCACAAGAGGAAGGGGAATCAGACTCAGTTCTTGGGGCTTGGAGGCAGATGTCTGTATTTACTTCTCCCGTTTCTTTAGCAGTCTATGGGGCTCTTCTTGTATTGTGTATATTCGTGTCTTCCTGGTTGCTCCAGTTACCCACAGGGCGGGACTGTATTCTGTTTGTTCTGACCCTAGCTTTAGCACAGTACCCTGGTACAGTAAGGATACTTACTCAGTCTGGGCATAAAGTATTGTGGTTGAGTCCAGAAAGCCTGTGCTGTGGCTTCTCCATGCTGAGTTGATGCGTTAAATGCTCTGTGAGTCTTCACAGCAACTGTGAGTCATCCCTCCTTTACTACTTAGCTGCTCTCCTTTTCACAACTTTATAAAATGCTAACGAGATTCATTATTGTAGGTGATTGATGAGATTTACCGTGTACTGAGATACGTCAATTCTACCAGAGCCCCACAGCGAGCCCATGAAGTGCTCCAGGAATTACGGGATATTTCCTCCATGGCAATGGAGTACTTCGATGAGAAGATTGTTCCAATTCTCAAGAGGAAATTGCCAGGATCAGATGTGTCGGGAAGACTCATGGGCTCTCCTCCAGGTATCTTGTTTGGTTTGGGGTTTTTTTCTCTTGCAGACAGGGTCTCACTATGTACCTGTAGCCCAGGCTGGCATCAGACTCTGTATATAGCCTGTGTTGGCCTTAAACTCTAGAGATCGTGAATTGGCCTCTTGAGTGCTGGGAACATGGCTGGGCACCACCAGCACAGCAGCTCCCTTGGGATGTTGTCTCCATTATGTCTTCAGTTTCTAACAACCATCGTGATAACTTCATAACCCCGTTGTCTGTTTTCTCATTGAACCACGCTTTGGTGGTTTGGTGTTGAGGGTGGAGCCCAGGGCTTTGCACATATTCTGCTGCAAGGCTGCTTCCCCAGCTCCCTGCTTCTGGTTGGTTTTTGTTTGTGTTTTTGCTTAAATTATGCTCTCTAGATCCATTTCATGGCTAACTCTGCATGTGACCACAACTGCTGACTTCAAGTGATTTTGTATTGTAATAAACCCAAAAAAAACTAATGTAAGCTGAAGTGTTCTCAGTAGGAAACATGAATGATTAACCCTTTAAATGCTCTCTTCACAGTTCCTGGACCATCTGCAGCCCTGACGACAATGCAGCTCTTCTCCAAGCAAAACCCTTCAAGACAAGAGGTTACCAAACTCCAGCAGCAGGTTAAAACCAATGGTGCTGGCGTGACTGTCCTCAGGCGTGAAATTTCTGAGCTTCGCACCAAAGTGCAAGAACAGCAGAAACAGCTTCAAGACCAAGACCAGAAACTGCTAGAGCAGACTCAGATCATAGGCGAGCAGAACGCACGGTTGGCAGAGCTGGAACGGAAGCTCCGAGAAGTCATGGAAAGTGCAGTAGGAACATCCTCAGGGTCTGGGCAGAGCGAGGAGTCTCCTCGGAAACGGAGAAAGGCAACAGAAGCCATAGACTCTCTTAGGAAATCCAAACGACTGCGGAATAGAAAGTAAAGTGGAATGTGGCTGTAGCTCCAGAGGAAGACGGCCATGACTGGGAGCTGAAGCAGTTCTTCCTGTCAGGATACTGGAGCACCGTGGTGTCCCTTAGGCTTCCAGATGATCAGAACACAACTTACACTTGGCTCTTGTGGTTGGCATCCTTCTCGCGCTTCTCTGGTGGAGCTGATGCACAGAACCTCCTTCCTTTGCAATAGATCTGTACTAACCAGACCCATGCTGTCATGTCTGGGAGCTAACGTTTTTCCTGTGCAGATGATGTGTTCAGTTTGTTTGTTTCAGCATATATGCACATTACATACGGATTTTAAACAAACCCATTCTTGACAGACTAAAAGTTTAAGTTTAATACATAAAATGTCCTGTTCACTTGAAAGAAAAAAATCTACTTTTTAAATGGACACTATCTTGTTTTGAAAAAAAAGGTTGACTTTTTGTTTGTTATAAGTGACCTTTGTCTGGAATGTCTGAGAAGTAGTTATTCCTTTGGTGTTGAAGTGATGGGTAACAGGAAGGACTGCATAGTGTTGCCTGTAGAAGGGGCTCTACAGTACTGACTATCTAGTTTTATAAACTACTGGCAAGGGGTCTTTCCAGTTGTCAGATCCATGCTTTCAGTTTCCTTTGGAGCCACGTCCTCCATTTGCATGGGTGGATGCATGCATTGCCCAGTCAGCACATTGCACAGCTCTTCACTGGTGTGGATCTTGAACCTCTACACCATTTGGAGAGCTGCACCTTCTTTGGTCTAAGCGCTTAACAGCTTCCTCTGCAGCAGCTTGCCTGTGGGGGAGAATTGCCAGTCCATTTGTCCTCCAGTTTTGCAGGCACCAGAGACTGTAAAGTCCGTTGATGTGTCTCTTCTCTGTAGGGTTCAGGTACACTGGCTAAGACAGAACTCCAAATCCTGTAGAAGCCAGACCTCTGGGAACTAGTCATGATTCTGACTCGTCACTGTGCTCATGGGTCAACCATGACTGAATAGGGACCCAACTGAAGAGAATTGTACCATGAAAAAGCAGTTTGATCATTTCCTTTCTGGGGGATGAGCCGAGCGAAGCTTTTGAATGCCACGTTCAAGCTCCCATGATAACTTTGAACAGAAGCTTTAGTTTTCTTTGCACTCCTGTTTCGAGCTTGTAACTGGAAAAGTGTGTCTTGCACTGTCCAACCTTCTGAGGGTCACTTTAAACATCCTCCAACTGTGTAAAGTGGTTCTTTCCCCGTTGTATATGTGTTGAAACATTCAGCTATCACTGTCCTATTTTTATTTTAATGTACTAAATTATGTAGTTTTGTTCTTTTAAATGTCTGTTGCTTTGGGCTTCAGTTATTTATAGTAAATTTAGTTGTGAGATAGTAAAACTATCCCTTTCCAGGTGAAAGTTGACACCTGTGTAAAACTAAGGTTTTGGTAAATCCCACAGTGGGAGAAAAGCACGAGGTTGTCATCCGTCCAACATGACATGTTATGCATCCTTTAGGTTCCTTTACCAGGTGACACTCTACTGCCCATCCTTAGTATTGTCCCTTCATGATCCTGCCCTTGGGTTTGGTTCAAGTCCATTTACAACGTAGTATGTTTTCAGTGAGAAACCGTAACATGGCATCCAAGTGTTTCATGGTTTGTTGGGAAGGTCATTTTAAAATAAAAGTTTTCCTAAAAAGATTTGTCAGCCAAGGTCATCCATAAAGGTCCTTGTCTGGAACTCACTTTCTCAGCAGGTCTCACTTTTGGAATCCTAGGACGTAGCCATATCACCGTAGCCTTGGAGGAGGCCTACTGGGCACTCAGAGCTTGACTTTACTAGTCTGCTGTTCTGGTAGAGGAAGACTTTTTTAAGCATCAAAGTACAGGTTTTCAAAGTACAACCCTTATGCATCAAATAAATAAGCCTCAATTTATTTCTTCAATAATTATTAAAATTTCTCGAAATTTTTTTTTCCAACAACATCTAACTAGCCTAAATATAATCACTAGTCTTCCATTAGTTAATGCGAGTGCATGGCTTTCATAATGAACACTCACATGGTGAGAAGGGAAATGTCTGCTGCATGCACCTGTGGTCTCCAGCCCATCAGACTGAGTTGCACTTGTTTCATGATTATCTGTAACTATGAGAATAAAGAACTACAGCTCGCCTGTCTTGAGCTTTACTCGGAGTAGCTAACACACACTAGGAAGTTGTCTTCACCGTTTAATACAGTTCTTTGGGATAGCAGAGTAGCATTTAGAGTTCTTCAAATCACACATTATTTTAATAGCTACAACTGACTTGCCATGGGAAAACTTAACCAGCCTCCTGAGAGAGACCTCTTGCATTTCCTGGCAGAACCTTACATGCTATAGGTGGTTTACAGCAGATTTCATACAGTATTCCCACCAAGAAGCGATTCCTCTGTTTGACCAGGTCGTTCCCATGTATAAGTTGACCCGTGGTACACACTACACACAGGCATACAAACACGAAAAGACATGAATGGGAGGTGAAGAGGACTGGCCCCTGTCCTGCAGAGCCCTGCTCGCCTCCCACACAGACTGCTCTGGTTTCCAACCAACATGGGTTACAGAAGCTCTTCAAACTTCCCTTCTGATGTAGAGAGCCTGGAGGTAAATGGGGGCAATTAACAGTAACCCCACTGTTGTAAAGACTATTGGGGTGCCCCAGGTCGAAAGCCAATGATTTGGAATCAGCTTTTTTTTGTAAAACATTTTTTTGGAGTACTGAACTTCACAGGGGCTTGCCTTAATTTAGTAGTTTCAAGATGTATGCGCTAATATTCTATGTGTTGAAATGTTAAAATATTCTATGTAGCCCCAAGAGTGGGTAAAACAGAGTTTAATGCCTAAATAAATAAGCTAAAAGGTGTCAGTCACTACAGCTGGATTTTTTAGAGAAAGTGAACATATGAAAAATAGGCTATGCGTCATGAACAAAAAACAATGGCACCTTGGGATTGCACTATTTCATGCACTGTTTTCTATGCCATTTCCTAGCCTGCACTTTTACCTCCAAAGAAATGCTGTGTAGTGCCCGTTGCTTGCTAGTGAGCTCATTCCTAACGGCACTAATTCTAGTTCACTATGCTGAGTTAGTTTCCGTAACTGCCTTCCTTATGAGTTCTCTGCTTCCTTAGCCATAATCCTTTCTAGGATCTGAGAACTCCTGTCTCCTCAGTTTCCAACAGTGTAGCATTTTAATTTAATGTAAACCTCATCCTTGGTGGTGAGCACAGTCATAGATCCTCTTCTAGTGGTGAGGACCTGTTTGTTACATCAACCAAACCTTCAGAGTCGACGCTGTGAGATCTGAAAGCAGGGCTATAAGACCTGAGAGGGAACACACAAAAGGACAGCTGATTCCAACAGGAAATGTACTATCCGATGCTTTGGTTTGAGGTCTGATGAGTTCCTTTAGGGGACAAGAGGTTCAGTGAACACTACTTAAATGTAGAGCCCACTACCACCTGCAGGAAGTTATTTTCAACAATTGCTAAGTCCACAAAACCGACAGCAAGCACCGGTGGTGAGGTGTGGCCGAGAACTGCTCTCCCTTTGAGTAGCAGTATGTCACACAGATAAGACCTAGGGCAGGCCTGAGTGATGTTGGCCTTTCCCAGCTGCCTAAGAATCATGGTTACATTTCTGAAACTCAAGCATTAAAGCCACCTTTTCCACATTGTGTCTGAAGGTAGCCACATGCTTTAGCATAGGGGTCCGACCAGGCTATTGCCAAAGTCTAGTGGTTCATACTGCCGAAAGGTTAGCCGTGTTGATTCTTTATGTGGTACCGTATGTCTGTTTACTTATGCTCATGAGCAACAATAAACCATTTTCATTGTTATGACCTAGTCAATTATTGGAAGGTGGGGAAAAAAGCACCTCCCAGTCACACAACAGGGCACGGAAATAAACGTGTTGTCACCAGGTCTACTTGTTTCTTTATTTCATGCACCAGAGTTTGGAACTACCCACAGACAGACACCATCTAGGTAGCTATTGTCCTGAGCCACTGTCCTGTGTTTTACAAATCACTGTACTCGGAGCCACCATGCAAACAAAGCAGGTTGGACTGTGAGTGGGTTAATTGAACCCTAGTAAGCAACAAGTCCACAGCATTAAGACAGGGAAGAGACTTTAGTGGGATTTCATCACCTGTCTGAGCTTTGCTCCCGGCTGTGTAGTACTCCATTCTAAAAAGTCCAGGAGCGGTGAGATGCCATGTGTGTGTGTGGGGGGGGGGGGCGGTTCTGGGTACCTTCTCAAAGCAAGCCATGCAAAACCACTGGTGGTAGAGTTGACTGAGAAAGGGCCAGGAACTCCAGGGAAGAACGGCAGAACAGTTGCATGTTATCATGTATCTGCAAGGCCCTGGGTTCGATCCCCAGTACTGGGGAAAGGGCTAGGCTTGGAGGCAGCTTGTAGTGAAGTGTTTTGACAGTCTCCCCAAGGTGTACCATAAAAAGCTCACTGACTTCTAGGTCCAAGGCCACTAACAGCTCTATAGTCACTGTGGTGTATGTTGCTGGTCTGTCAGCAGTGACCATCAGTTCTTAGGCTCTGCCAGGGAGGAATAGCAGTTTGCTTCTCAGAATTCTCCCTGCTCCCAACACAAATAAGAATTTCTGGTGAGCTAAAATCACCCAGATCAATTTTCGTTAGTATACATTATACAGGGGTTTCATGTTGATGTTTCCACACATAGAATACACATTGTTGTATTCAACCCTATATTAATCTTACCCGCCTTCACCTTCACGACTTCCCTTCCAATATGTAGCATCCCCTTTTAATTCCCTGCCCTTTGTTTTCCTGAGTTCCACATAGAAAACGTGGTTCTAAGGATTGGCTTATTTCACTTAATATAACCTCCAGCTCTGTGCTTTGTCCTGCAAAGAACAGAATTGCATCCTTTATTGTTGAGTAAAGCTCCTTTGTGCATATGTACATTTTCTTTATCCATGCATCGATAGGCAGCAGGCTCCTTCCTTTCATTGGCTTTGTGGAAGTGAGATAAATGTAGATGGCTCTGTAGTGACCTGACTCCGGTATGTGCGTGCCTAAGAGTGGTATTGATAGGTTGTATGATAGTTCTATTTTCAAGTTAAAAAAAAAAAAAAAAAAAAAAAACAACCTGATGTATTTTTACGTGTATGGATATTTTGCCTGTGTGCCTGTGCATCATGCAGTGCCCGTGGGGACCAGAAGAGGGCATCAGTTCCCCTGAAATGAGCTACAGGAAGTTGTTCATCTCCATGAGTTCTGAGAATTCAACCCAGGTCTTCTGAAACAGCAGTCAGTGTTCTTAATCACTGAGCCATCTCTCTAGACCCTTCCTGCAGGTTTCCACAGGGGTTTGACTAATTACATCCCCACCAACAGTGTGTAAGAGTTCCTTTCCCCCCACATTCTTGCCAACATTTGTTATTTTCACTTTTCTTGATGCCATTCTGATGGGGGAGATAGAATCTCAGTGTAGCTTTTGTTTTATTTTGGCCACTGTGGTTTATCTTGAGGGTCTAACTCTGTAGCCCACATTACCTTGAAATGCAATAGGTAGCCCAGGTTAACCTTGGCCCGCAGCAATCCTCTCGAATTAACCTTCTGAGATTATGGCTTGAGTTTGAAACCAGCCTGGAATACACTGCAAAATCTTGTCTCAAAATGCCAAAACAGGGGTTTCTTGTTTCCATCCCCGATACCCAAAACAAACCCTACCCTACACTAGTTCCCCCATGTTAATTTCTGAAACCACGCCTGCAGGGTCTATACTAGGTGATCATCTCATTGCAAAGGGCATCTCAGTGAGCTGGGTTCAGTGCATCATCTCAGAACAAACTGAGAGGAAAGAGTAAGGAGACAAAACATCAGAAAACAGCTTTGTAGCGACAGGTCTCCCCTTAAATGGGTTCCAGGGATTTCACTCAGGTCGTCAGGTGTATGCAGCAAGTGCCTTGAGCAGCTGAGGCGTCTCACTGGCCCTCAACTTTTTTTCTGTTGTTGATTTGTTTGGTATGTGTGGGCATGTACTCTCGGCCAAGCCAGTGCATAATGGGAGATAGCGAGTGTGTGGAGGTCAGAGGACATGCTTGTGGACTAGTTCTCTCTCTGCCTTTACTTGGATTCTAGGAATCGAACTCAGGTTTTCAACCTTGTACAGCAAGCACCTTTACCCACTGAGCCATTTCGTTGGTCCCTCTGACGTGTTTTTAATTCCCTCTCTGCTTCTAGGTTCTGATTTGTTGAGTCTATGAAGCAGCAACGTAAATGGTAAATTGGCCCTGGAAATAGGAAATCTGGGGGGTACCTTCTGTGTTGAGAAAAAAAAAAAAACAGCACCCCTGCTCTGTCAGACCAAGGAAGGGCAAGCCAGGTTAGCTCTGCCTCTGCTGGGCTGGAGCAAGACCGGAAGCACCTGCCCCGTAAAGGGCTTGATTCTATGACCCCAGGTGCCGGGATCACCTCTGCCTCTATTCTCAAAGCAAATGGAAAGGCAGCTTCCCAGCTTCGCCCAGAGGACAGTGAAGGGGTGAATGTCAGGCAGTTACACCACCCAGAACGTGGTGCAGACACGAAGTTCCTCAGATGTGATGGCAGAGTAGAGGCCATGCAGCGACACGGGCCGGTGACCACACCAGGAGCAGGGGCAGGTTCTGCTACTGGTCTCTAAATGCTGCATGGGTTCACTCTAGTCCTTGCCTAAGTAAGTATATTTAATCTCTCTCCCTCTCTCTCTCTCTCTCTCTCTCTCTCTCTCTCTCTCTCTCTCTCTCTCGGAAATTTATTTTCAGCCCATCTTAGTTTTATCATCTCTCAGAATCCAAAAAAGACCTGGGAAATTATTCAAATTACTTCCATCACCCTTTTTCATTCCTGAGGTATCAATGATGTGCAGAGGGATGTACACATGCACCTGAGAATGTTGTTGCTCTTGAGGTAACTTAATATCTCTGAGGTTTAGTATCCTCATTTGTAAAAAAAAAAAAAAAAAAAAAAAAAAAAAAAGAAGAAGTAAAGGGGCTGGAGAGATGGCTTAGTGGTTAGGAGTACTGGTTACTCTTCCAGAGGTCCAGGGTTCAATTCCCAGCACACACATGGCAACTCATCATAACCATCTGTAACTCCAGTCCCAGGGGACCTCCTGGACCCTGTGGGCACCAGGCATGTAAGCACATGGTATACAGACATGCATTCAAGCAAAACACCCATGCACATAAAAATAAATAAAAATTAAAAAGATAACACCACAATGTGACCCAGATACACTATATATGTGTATGAAACTGTCAAAGAATAAATACATAAAAATCATTTCAAATTTCTCCAGTAAACCGGCACCCCAGGCACCTGGCACAGACACTTCGAGAAATGTTCTGAGACTCTTTCTCACAGCCAGACTCGTGGGTGCAGCCAAGTGAGTTCCCTCCACTCCTTCTCCTGACTCACTACTATTTGCTCTCCCCCATGAGGAACAAGTTGATCAGGAAGCTGCCCTACAGCAGCAGCTTTAAAGCATAGACAACAGATACATAGGCAATGAGAGGCGCTCATTCATGCCAAGACCTGGAGACAACTTAAAAAAGAAAATCTGCGGTGAAGGTTCTGAGCTTCTGGGCTGTTTTTGGAGAAGACTACAGTGACTTACTGTGCTGGCTGGTTTTGTGTCAACTTGACACAAGCTAGAGTCACCAGAGAGGAAAGAGCTTAAGTTGAGGAAATGCCTCCATGAGATCCAGCTGTAGGGCATTTTCTCCCTTAGTGATCAATGGCGGAGAGCCATCTCTGTGCTGGTGGCCCTGGGTTCCATAAGAAAGCAGGCTGAGCAAGCCATGAGGAGCAAGCCAGTAAGCAGCACCCCTCCATGGCCTCTGCATCAGCTCCTGCCTCCAGGTTCCTGCCCTGCTAGAGTTCTTGTCCTGACTTCCTTTGGTGATGAACTACAATGCTGAAGTGTAAGCCGGAAAAAATTCTTTCCTTCCCAAATTGCTTTTGCTCACGGCACTTTGCTGCAGCAGTAGAAACCCTGATTAAGACATCAATTGACACAGACATTTTGAGATTACTTAAGCAAATTACTTCCAGCAGTTCTGAGCCGGAGACGGAGGATAAAGGCATCGACACAGATGACTAACCCAGTAGGCTAATGAACTGGTTCACCAACTTTGCTTTTAAAAAGTGTTCTAACAAGTTGTTCTCATCAGAGACAGTGGCGGCCGATGTTGATTTGCACAAGGCAGCTTGTTGAGTCATGTGGATGCTTCCTTCCTGGGGTGGGGGGGAGCACACAAGCCCCCTGTAAGTCAGGGTTTCACACCAGCAGCCTTTAGTTACTGACAAACATCTCCCAAATCTAGAAGCTCAGAATACATTCTGGGTGGAAATCTACATTCTAGCAAGCTCTCCAGGTGAACGCTGGCTAAAAGCATTAGCTTTTGACTGTCTGAGTCAGGGTCACTATTGCTATGACGAACCACCAGGACCACATGCAACTTGGGGAAGGAAGGGTTTTATTTGGCTTTCACCTCCACAGCACTGTTCATCACTGAACAGGATTTTTCAAACAGGAAATTTCAAACAAGGCAGGAACCTGGAGGCAGGAGCTGATGATGCACAGGCCACGGAAGAGTGCTGTTTGCCACGGTTCTCATGGCTGACTCAGCCTGCTTTTTTAGAGAACTCTAGCCACCAGCCCAGGGATGGCCTCACCGCAGCGGGCTGGGTCCTCTGCTGTCAATCACTAATTAAGGAAAAGTGCTACGGGCTTGCCGGCCAACAGCCTGATCTTACTGAGGCAGTTTCTCAACTGAGCCTCCCTCCATTCCAGTGGCTCTAGCTTGTGTCAAGTCGACATAAAACTAGCCAGCACGGTGTGACTCTGAAACCAAAGGCTCCAAACCCCTTGCTCCCTATCACTATAGTAACAAAAGGA